TGTGGGATAAGGGCTTAAAACTGCCAACAGTAAAAGGAACTGCTTGTTTTGCAATGGGAGCGTGACCGATAAATCACTGCAGGCCTGCCCAATTTTGTCCAGTAGCGAAAGCTGTGTAATCAAGTCGTGAGTTAAAATCCATTTGGTGCAAATATACGCAGAAGTTGCTGGCATTCAGATTTGAGCAGCAGGCTCAAGGCTTGGGGTTTTCTTTTAATCAGAAGCAGTGCCTTTCCAGTCTTGTCCTTACTGCTATGCCAAACATCAGCAACCAGCCAAAGAGGACATGGCTCTGTCTGCCAGTGCTGACCAGAAGTAAGGCCTCTGGGATCAGTGCAGCTACACCAGGGTGAAGCTGCTGCAAGCCTGAATCAAGTCCTTTTCCATACGAACATCCTTCTCCCTGCCAAAGGATACTCATTTCCCTTCTACCATTGGATTTGAAGTAGGATGTAAAAAAAAAAAGGGGGTGGTTGGGTGTTAGACAATCCCCTTAAGAGAATTAAAAAACAATTACTCCTTAAAAAAAAAAAAAAAGCATAAAATTTCTGTTTTCTGGGAATTATTTCTAGGCCAGAAGCACCCCTGGTCATCAGGCAGTTAAACTGGGCATAAAGCCATTTTGCTTCTGACTGTCCCTGCTATGGGACTCCACCAGACGGGGGGGGTGGTTCAGGACACAGTGCAGGCAGCAGCTTAAGCACAGGCCTTAGTTTTACAGAGCTCAAGGACCCCCAAGGCAAGGCACATGCACCAGTCCTGTCCCGATCGTGTGTGCTTCCCCAAATCGCAGCCCCAGCGCTTCCAAGTCAAATGGGATCGCTCTGCGAGTTTCCCTGCTCCTGCGCAATTGCGTTCCCACGTAAGAGGGGAGGGAGCCAGTTAAGCGTAGATACATAGTCCTTTTCAAATGCTTAATATTTCTAGCTTCACTGTAATTATATCCTGCAGATAAAAATGGTGCTGAAGGTCAAACAAATCCTCCAGGAGAATATACTCTGCATGGAAACTATGGGGTTTTTAACTGGAAAGGTTGTATAAATACTGCAGATTGAGAACCTATAATTATCTGTTAAAATCACTCTGAGTCTACTGAATTCACATTTGTCCATGTTCAACCTCTAGTCTCCTATTTATAATGCTCAGATGTGCCCAAAAATCAGCTCAGGCAAGAGGCGACTGATCAGAACTACATTTTTCCTGGACAGTTTCTATGGTTTCAGAGGGTGATGCTCTGTGGGGGACCAGCTCTGGGTGCTGGGCTGGGCTGGGCTAGTGCCATCCTGCAGCCGATGCCCCGCTTACCTGCCTCCAAAGGCAGGATTTACTCCTCCGTGCCCTTTGCAGACACATCCCCACGTTGCTCCCCAGCTCCGCAGGGCTGCAGCACCTCGGCCACAGGAACCTCCCTGCCCGGGAAAGGCTTTTGCATCCCTCTGGGATCTCAGCACCTCTGTTTGCAACGACTCCAATAACTGCATCCCCAGCCTAATCCCACTGTTTGGGTGCAATCTCTGAATCTGCATGGGGACGGACAGGCAGTCCTTGCTGCCAGCACATGGGGATGCAAGTCCACCCTCGCAAGGAAGGGCTGGTGGCGTTTGTTCTGGAAATATTCCTCTGGGAGCAGCGAGCAATGTGACCGCCAAGTGCTGCGGCCGATACACTTGCCCGGGGGGAGCGGCACAGTTACCCACCGAAAGCCCCAGCCCCGCTCTCCTCCAGCCTTGCCCTGCTCATACACATCCCCCCGGAGCAGCCCCAGGGAAGGAACTGCCCTTCCCTGTCCCCATAGGCAAGGAGAAAGAGGGCACCACGCCATCCTTCGCCCTCCTGTGGTCCTCCAGAGGTTGTTTGCCCAGGAAAGGAAGAGATGCTCTTTTAACAGAGCAGCTGGCATGGTGCTGCCACTATGGGTGTGAATGCAAAGGGACACACAGCCGCTGGGGATGAAGTTTGCTTTCCCACCAAACATGCCTGTTTAGGGAGAGATACCTGCAGCCAGGAGAGCCAGGACTGGTTCCCGCATGGGCAAAACCACGGATGGCATCGCTGCCAGCAGCGGCCTCTGCGCTCTTCCCGAATCTTCCCCCTTCCCGTTTATCGTAGCGATCCAGGCTACGGAACTGCAGTGCCTGAGCCACAGCTTTTCTCACCAGGGCCAACGAAGCAATCGTGGGGTTCATGACAGAGCCCCAGCAGCGCACAGCACCCCAGAACCGGGGTCGGGGTAAAGCATCGCGAGACCCAACCCGTCACCCTGCTCTCCGTCGGCCATCTCCAGACCCGAGGTGGGTGGCATCTGTCTGTCTGTCCACTCCCTGCAGCTGTGGCTGAAAAGGAGCCACAAGAACCAGGGTCTCTGGCATCAGCACCCCCTCAGACACGGTCCCACAGGAACAGGTCTCAGGCCACCCATTTGGCTGAGGCTCACAAGAGCCACCAGCCAGCGGGAGCTGCCAGGAGCTATATATATCTTGCCTGGATTTGAACTGCCCACGAACCTCCACCACAAATATTTGGAGGAAGGGGAGGGGGTAAAAGAAGCGAAAACATTAAAAAAAATTGTCTCAGCAGTGAGAAAAACTATCAAGCAACCAACAGCGATTGAAAAATTAGGTACTTTGAAAGCTTGGTAACTTTATAAATGATGCAGTGTTTCCAGAGCAGCAGCTCCAGCGCTGCTCGTGCCAACCTCCTTCCCCTAACCGCCTGCACTAAAGCCGAAGGTCAGAGGAAAGCCGTGAGCCCTCCTGCCCACCCCTCCTCACCCACTAGTTCCATCTCGCCCCCCCCCAAATGCTGACAGTGAGAAAACCCACTGGCATGGACCTGATTCTTCCTCTCCCCCGCTAACCTCCATCTCTGAACATCCCCCTGGGAATGGGTACACCACACTTCTTAATATATATTTACATTCACGCTGAGGTAGGGAGCCGGATTTTCCTCTCGGATATGCAGATGTAAAGCCAGAGGAGCTCCGTGGGTGTCAAGGAGGTTACACGAGACTTACGGCTACCACACTCGCTCCCCTGAGTTGCCACCAGCCACAGCCTGGGGATGCAGAGCAGACCTCAGGGGGCGAGGATGGAGGGAGGCTGGGGGGGTTTAGCCCAGTGGATATATCGCCGTTATTGATGTGCACGGTTTACTCCCTGCTGATGTACTATTTTCTTGGGAGGGAGGAGGCTGTCGGACCCTCACTGAGGCTTTCCTGACCTTTGAGATCATTTGGATCTCGGTAGAGCTCATTGAGGTGACCCCCTCTCTGCCCTGGCTCGGCTCAGCCCTCCCTAGCAGAACATCCCTGCGATGGTGGACAACTGGCTTTATAGAGGAAAAAAACATGTTTTCCAGCACAGATTTATCTCTCCCAAAAGCAAACTACCGTCGCTAATGATCACTGATGTTTACACGCCAACACCTTTACCGCCAGTAAAAAACAAACCATCAAAAGCAAAATCTGTGCAAATACATCTCTGGTCTAAGCCAACCCAGCCATGAAGCTGAAGTTCAGTACCTAAAGCCACCGAGGAGCAGCAGAAATGCCTGCCAGCATCCAAAACATGCCTTGGCACAGATGCAAGCCTTCTCTGATTTAAAGGCATAATTTACACTCAGCTCCTGAGTTACTAAAATCCTGTAGCCCTTTCAGCATGGCTCAAAGCACCCCGCTTTACGTAGCAGTCTCCGAGGGTGGAGTTCAGCCGTTTGCATGGGAAATGTCCATTCCCGGCGGATCCGGGCTCCCTTAATGAAGCGGGGAAAGGCAGGCGCTCCGGGGCGGGATGGAGCTCACTGGGAAATCGGTGCCAAAGGAAGGTCGGGTGGAGCTTAGCACTTTTATAGAGACTATTTGCAATAAGAACCTAAGTGAAATGGCTCTTCCCTGGGGATCTTGGGAACTTTGCTTCTGTCCAGACACACTGAGGACGGCTGTGTGACTCGTGGGCCTGATGCCAGGTGCCCAGTGTGCCTTGAAAATGGGGTTTTGTGCAGGAAAGGGAGGGCACCCACCAGCCGGTACCTCCCGCAGGACATCGGCAAGAGGGCCAGCACTTCGGACCACCCGGAGCCAGGGCATCCCCAGCTAACACCGCCCAGGGCCGTTCCCGTCTCTGTTGAGAGCACGAGCTCTACTTCAGACCTGACTCTCGCTTTAGCCTCCAGTTACGGGGACCTTCTTTCCTGTCCCCAACAGCAGACTCACAAATCTCTCCCCACTGCAAACAGGCCTGGACCAAATGATTTCAACCCCCCACGGCCATAGGTTCTCCACTCCCCACCTTCCCCCGAGGATCCCTCATTTTTCCCCTGGCAAACCCGGGGCAGCGATTTGAAGGCAGCCAGAAAAACTCCTTTAACTCAAAGAAAAGAGCCTTCCCACCTCCCCTCCACCCCACTGCTGCAGCCAGAGGATGATGCTGGCCTGAACCCTCTGCCGCAGCCCCCGCCCCCTTCCCCCCCCCCCCCCCCCCCCCCCCACCCC